AGGGACTAAAAAGGGGCTTTTTCCTATAGTAGAGGGACCAAAAAGGGTATTTAACCAAAAAAATTCAATATGAACTGCGAAAATTTTCTTTTGTTTTAAAATATGTGGAATTAAGACTGACCTGTTGCTTCGAGAAATATGCCATCAGGATCTATAGATTAGAGTAACAAAATTAGAAAGATATGCAAGCACATAAACAGACAGTACTAAGGAATGAGCATTAATTCCAATAAAGATTGAGTTAGAAAAGCATACCATTATAGTAGTCGTAATGGAAAAATACGTAAGTATGACCTCGAATTAAATCTACAAAGTCTTGAAACACATATTCCCCATAGAACAACCTGAAATATACATTCAACACAAGCATAGAGAGATATCAGTATACGGTAAGGCGATGGATAAATGAATGAAGAGGATTTGAAGAACGTCAAACCGAGGTAAAGGTGTTGGTGAAGATGTTCATATCATTGTATGAAGCCGAAAACATTAAAAACGTTCCTCGATTAAGTTTTGGTTTGACGTTTTGGTCAAGATGGTCATATCATTATACGGTAAGGTTTGTTTCATAGGAAGAATCCTAGTATTGGCCCATCGATTAAGTTGTTAATTTTTTAATCAAGCCTCCACTAACTTCCGTCCTAAATACATCCCTTAGAGTAACTTTCATGCTATTTAAGTCCCTTTCACCATATGATTGTTGCATATAAAGCAAAAGGCAAAGGTAATTTTTCCTCTATTTTCTAGTTAGGGTATGTAATTTCGATCGATGAATCCAATATTTTGCTAATGGCTCTGCAAAGCCAAGGAGGCAAGGAAAATGGTTGTTGCTTGATAAAGAATTAGAGGAGATGAAAGAGCAGTTACAAAGCATCCATGCCAATATTCACAATAGACAAGGGAGCTATCTCAATTAACACATTAACGGAGAGGAAACTGTAACAAGTTGCCCCATGGCATTTTTTTCAATTAACTTTTGCGTTAAATATAACGAATGTGCAGTGGAAGGGAGGGGCTTATTTGATACTAAATAAATTTTGAGGGGTATATTTGGAATAAAAGTAAGTAGATGGGCTTTATTGGAATATACAAGTTAATTTATGGGTCGATCTTAGGATTATTCCTACCTGCTCAAATGCAAAGTAAAGATGTTCAGAAAGTTCTTGAATACTTACATACTCTGCCACAAACCGCAGCCCCGGTTATTTAATTTGATCCAAACCCATCGCAGTTCAAAGCCCATAAGCATTTGAAGGTAAATATCAGAGGCAGAGAGGCCTGAGATATTGGATAGCATGACCGGAAACTGTGCTTCAATTCTGCATGATTCATTGAAATCCGAAACCTGTGTTTGGTCATCATTGAAAAGAAAAAAGTACGTGTGTGGAGAGGAAGGGTTATTGGTGCAATTAGAGGCATCCACATAGAGTGCTGAGTTTATCCTCATATTGCAATTTAGAACATACATGATGCTATTATTAGTTATAACGCTAAATTGAGAAATAGACACACAGGGATATGTAAGAAGAAGGGAGCAGGGAAAGGAACATTTATTCCTATGGAGACTGACATCTAGCAGTCGAACTGTCTGATTCTCATAAGAGATTTCCTCCACAAAGAATTTTCTGGATGTCCTGGTGCGCAAAGTGGCGCGGTTGTTCTCGCAAACTAGTTCATACTTTGACTCAGGACACTTGATACGATCACTTTTTAGCCAGAAAGGGGGACTTATAGTAAGGTTTCCACAGGAAGAAGGGACGCAATGAGCCATACAAACATCAGGAAAAAGAGACAAAGCAAGGGCCATGAACCCGAACAGAACTACAACTTTCGCTCTTGACATCCTAAAGCTAGAGTATTAGAGTGAGAGGTTTTCTTAAGAATATATAGTAAAAACTCTGATGATAGCAAATACGATCCAATTACGCCCCCACAAAAAAATATCTACAGAATAAAAAAAAAAAAAGGGTTAGGATTGCACCCAGTACAAACTAGGTAGCTCTCAGAGGCAATAAAGCAAACACCTAGAATGCATATTGCCTGAACTGATTGGATAGCCACATAAAGAAGCCTTCAAGTTGCTGAAGAAGTGAAGAGTGCCCTTCTCCTTTGGCCGACTTTGATTTTTAAAAGGACTTGAATGGTAGGAACGCTACGTTTCAACCTCCATGGAAAAGGAAGCTTAGAAGTTTCTTCGCATATTTGTTGCACAATTTGTATCTTCCATGAAACTTAATTCAGAGAGCCAATAATCAATTGGAAACATCCAGTTCAGCTAAATTTCTAAATAGAAGCTCTGAAGTAGTTTCCGTCAAGTTACCTTCTACCTAACAGTCTACACAGTTTTTTTTTTTTTTCGTACAGTAATTGTGGGGTAGGGAAGGGATGATATTACGAGTGTGGAGCAGCGTTCGAACCCTACAACCCAGGGACCAATTCACTGGAGCAAAGTGGCTTTTGCCACCTGCTCTCCCAAATGGTTGGCCACGGCCCACACGGTTTTACTCGTCAAATTAAAATGGCTCTGGTTTCTTTCATTTATGACTTCACACTCATAATTTTGTGTTGGGGTTTTCTCAACAGCTGTTTTGTGGTGATCTTCGATTCTTTAAAAAGGTTGATAAAAGAGATAATTTTTTATAGATTTTTTTAATTTTAAATATTATTTTTTAATTAAATTAAAAAAATTATTTTAAAAAATATATAAATTGACATAAAAATATTTTAATTAATTTTTTAATACATAAAATACCCGAATTGTTAAACTAAAAAATAATTTTTTTTTTTAAAAACGAAGGCTAGACCTCATATATAAAAAGTAAATGTGGGTATGGCTTTTCCTACTAAAAAAAGAAAAAGTAAGGGTGAAAAAAAAAAGAAGTAGAGGTGAGCATGGTCTTTCAAAAAGCCAAAATGTAAAGGTGCTTGGATAGACGCAACTCTTTTTCAAGCTGACCAAATGATCCATTCTAATGCGAACCAAATTACACCCCAGCCATTTCTTTCATTTGCAGACTGAATCAAATGAAAGAAAGTTAAATAGAGAAAGCAATACATGGATGATGAACGTTCCTTCCTTTTTCTGTAAAGGAAAAATTGGCAATTCAATAAATGTTCGTTTTGAGGCATAACAGAGCTTTTTCTTTCAATTATCTATTTTAATTATATTAAATT